TATCGCGAGTGCGCGAGCTCAATATCAGAAATTCGTTGTGCCGCTCTTGGGGGCAAAAAACGGTGAAAGCTAACGTACGAAACTAGAGGGCAGCACTGGATGCGATCGCACGATCCCTTCCGTGAGCAATCTCCCAACTCATCTCTGGTTTCTACTACCCTCTGAGTCGCAACTGGTCGCAACCAGTTGGACCTAAATATTGTTCCCAATTGTTCATATTGTTAAAGTTTACCAAGGGAGGTTACATGGTCGTGTTATAGTTTTTGGTATATCTTTTATGTAAAATACAAGAGAAATTGAATTATTAATTGATTGAATCGAAGTTTTAATTTCTAGAGTACCATTGATTGATAATAAGTAAACCCTTCTAAGCGATTATGGAGGCTTTGAGGGAAATTTGCAATTTTTTAATTCCGGCATGTCGACAGGATGTAAAATGTGTTGCACTGAAACATGTATTAAGTAAATAATACTGTTATTAATTTTATAGTATTGTAGTGAAACAAGAATACAAATTGAATGATATATTTATGAAAAATGTATTTCTATCGTTTCTACAGTTCTGCATTCATATATGTATAATAATTTGTTTAACACGCACCACTGATTACTTCAGGGATGACAGGCACTAAAAAAGGGATTGAATTATTGCTCAATACTTCTGCAATTTTAAAATGTGTTATTGCATTGATGCAAGATGACTCTCCAGTGATCGCTAAGGATGCATCTCTGCTGTTGATTAATATCAGTGCAGAAGAGGAGGGGGCTAATACTTTACTACTAATTTCTGAAACGAGTACAATTGATGCTGATCATAATATAAGCAGTAATCTAGTAAATACTTGTCTAAGGTATAAGTTTTTTCAAACTAAAGGAATTACAATTGCTTGGTATTTACTAATTAGGCATTATGTGCAGGTATATTATGGATAAGAATAGTGTAATAGCAGATCCTTGCTCCATGATATTATCAAATTTGACTCGCTCACGGAATCATGTAGAAAGATTTATAAAATTAATGGAGAAAAGTAGTTATACATGGGATTCCATTGTCACTGCTTTCACGACAGTAACTTACAACTGTAAAGGTGCAGATCTGGATTATGTGGCAACTGTTTTGAGTAACCTCAGTCAATCGCTTAGTGTACGCAGGTTTGTTTCCTTTAATATAATATTTTATAACTGCAGGAGTATTTTGACTGTTTTTACCTATTTTGAACTAATTATTTTTAAAGGTATATAATGGATAAGGATCGGTGTGTTATTCAGAGGCTGTTGCCATTTACGGAGCACAAAAATGATGTAAGACGATACGGAATTGTTGCTACCTTGAGGAATTGTTGTTTTGACATCGATAATCATGACTGGCTATTAGGTTCAGAAGTTGATATCTTGCCACACATTTTACTACCACTAGCAGGTCCTGAAGAGCTTCCTGAGGAAGACAACGATAAACTTCCTCTGGATCTACAGTATTTACCAGAAACTAAGGAACGAGAGACAAATCCCGACATTCGGTATACAGCTCTTTGATTCATTGTTTCAAACTGTTGGTTCAAATTTATATTCTCTGTACAGGAGTTGAATGCTAACTCCATTTTGATGATTCATAATGCAATTCTTAATAATATTGAAACAATTTATTTATTCATTGGCTGAACGTTTTACTGAATTATAGGACCATGCTTTTAGAAACTTTGAATCAATTATGTGCAACTAAAAGTGGACGAATTTTGTTGCGTGAAAAAAATGCTTATGCAATATTGCGGGAATACCACAAGTGGGAAAAAAATAAATCTATCCTGTTAGCCTGCGAAAATGTTGTTGATATCTTAATCAGGTAATAGCTTCTTTAAACGCTCTTAATTGTATATATTGCATAGGGTACCTGAAACTTTGATATAATTTTATCGTTTTCCAGAACTGAAGAGGAAATAGGACTGGATAATTTAAAAGATGTGGACGTACCGTCGAAATACGAGGAAGAGTTTCATAAAATGAATGAAGAGTTTATATCAGAGAAATAACCGTGCAGGTACACTGTCATCAATGTAAATTACTTTCTTATCGGAGATTCTGTAAATATTGTGCGACATAACACGTCGTAAACATTATATTCCTCCGTATTAAAAACAGACATAATTTCACAAAGCTTTGCACATTTCATTCAACCGATAGTATTGCACTTGCCCCTTAAATATTTATTTTTAAGCTATCAGGTCCAGCGTAGCAGGAAAATGTTTTACTAAAACAAGGCGATGGAGACGTATGGAAAAATGTTACTACGATTTAACAACTAACGACTTGTCCTGTGTTTTCTTAATAATGCTTTTGAAACTCTTAACCATTCTCGACAGCACCATTATCCTAGTCCCATAAAGGGGATAGAAACTTCAGTTAACAAAAAAGAATGGTTTAACACTAAGCCAGGTGACTCTGAATTGATACCCTTTCCTGGCAAAAGCCAGCACCTGAGAAGTACGTCAAGAATCTAAGAAAGTTCACTTAGAGTTGCACAGATGTTCTCTTTCACATACCCGAATTGCAGGAGCGCAAAATAATTGAAGCAGTATTTAAAATTAACGCAAGCAGGCCACTTTTATTATCATCGAAAGCTATAATATTTAAGCTCTAAGTATTCAATTCAGAACATTAACAATTTTTAAAATCTGTGCAACATTCAAGCGAACATAAATCATTCAAGCAGGTACAAAATTCGCACAGACATCAGCGCTATCTTTATCATAAACCTGTTATGAGGAGAAATTGCTATTTAAACTATTTATTTATAGATAATGACGCAGTAGAAATTCGATCACGAGATCAGGAGATTTTCATTGTCAGGGTAAGTAACCCAATCCGGCTTCTAAACTAATGGAGCTCCGCAGGCTGGAAATGCTGCTCCTTCTACAAGACCTGTTGGAATTCGCCCCAAAGACCGCAGCAATTTCTGCACTCTTCTTTATAGAAAGGGCCTCATGGTGTCCAGCGTGTCGGTTCTTGCCCCGTTTGCAAGACCTTTTGTCCCCGTCGGCGCCTCCCACGTAAACCAAACGGCCCTGGGGATCCCTTGCGCTAACCAGCAGGACCTTTTCATCGCCCTTTGAATGGGCCACTTTTCTTCCAGGATTGAAAAGATCGTAATCCAGGGCCAAATTGTCCGAGCTCGCAGGTGTCGCAGTCGGGCGGATCTAAAACCACCGAGAGGAACTTGTAAAAATATTCACTTCGATCCCGAAGAAGCGCCTAACGATTGGCGTTGAGATGCCCGAGACAATCTCGTTTCCACTCAATTTTTAGACGTAAGTTTCTCGTTAATTTATCTTACACTACTTAATTTCTACCGAGGAACTACCTTGAGAAATTCTAGACTCGTCGAGGAGCCATGACTCCTGCTATTCCTCGAAGATCTGATCCTTTCTGGACTTCCGCCCCTGCTCAGGGTGCTTTCGGAAGGTACGATCCCGCGCTGCCTCAACTGTTCCAAAATGGTCGGCTGGACGGATTTCCTCGCACAGTAACATTTGTTGCTCTCCGAACAGCTGTCCGTGTCACAGGAACAGACGGCAACGGCTACAGGTGCCGGCGGAGCGGGAATTCTGCGTGCCAAGGAACAATAGCATTTGTCCGCGGAGACGCAGGTACAGGATTCAGAATCGTAGCTGCACTCGCTGCAGCTGACATACCCGCTGCTACTCCTATTGGCACCTGCCCCTACGTTGCGACCGAGTCGTCTACCTACAAAGGTAAGATATTCTGTATCACTCATCCAGAGCAAAGCTGAATTAGATGACTTTCATTCAACAGAGGAATCCTTCCGAAACAAAAATCGCACTTATTGCAATTGTACCATACCAGTGTAAAAAATGTCCAATGACCCCTCTTACAGATTTTATCTCTTCAGCTACACCAGAGTCAGCCGCGGAGTACAAATATCATATATAAATACGATTGATATCACATTAGAAATTGAATTCCCACTCGTTTCGAATGCACGGTAAAGAAAGGGTCACTATAGTGGCGTTTCGTAAAACAATATTCACAGGAAGCCATTGTAGCGGCGTTTAGTTAATAAAACGTCGGTGAGGTGGAAACCACTATAGTGGTACATCGGATTTAAAGTGTTAAAAGTAAAGAGGGAACGTGAAGAATGTAAAGAAAATAACTAACACGTGTCACTGTCTTCCGAGGTCGTTTGTCCAACGTGCTTTGTTCTCTTCCAGGATGGTCTCCTCCTGCCGAGCCTGCTGGCCAGGACACGATTGTTTCCATGGCCGTTCCTCGCACCACAGGATGAGCTGCTGTCGATGCTGTCATTGAGCCTCCTGGCAGGGAATATGACGGAAGTAAATTCAGTCGGGCCGCCTTTTAATCGTGACATGGATCTCCGTATTGCGCGGCGCAGCAGGCAAGGTCGTCGGACCGAGCGTCGCCTTTGAGGTCGGCGGCGCCTCCTCATTATGCTGGCCGATCTTTCATAGAGCTCGTCCTGGGTCAGTGTTGCTGCCAATTTTAGGAGGAACTCCTTGTATAGTGGCTTCAGATCGTTGAAGGACATCCCCTCGGGATCTGGAAGACGAAAGTATGACAAAGGTGTACTTGAAGTCGGGTGATCCGAAACGAGAAATCCCGTTGTCCACGCACAAGAACGTCCCTCGATAGAATGGAACGTCTGGATGAGATTACAGAAATATATATGAATCTACTCTTCGATAAAGGATCTCCCTCAGTTCCCATGCGTGTGGATTTTTATTTTCCTATAAAACTGATTTCTTTCAAGAGTTGAGAAGTTACATCGAAGTCTATCGAAGCGTAAAGTTAAACGTTGTTTCGCTTCTTAGGCGGAAATGTTCAGGAGTATACTTGGATAAGAGTGTCGATGAGGCGACTGCTCCGAGAAAGTGGGATTGGCAGATCTAATAAACATCAGGTGGTGGTATGAGGAAGACACTGATTATTGGTCTCTTAGCTGGAAAGGTAACGGTACGCGTTCATGCGGAGGCTGTAACTTATTCAAGCATTCTTTCAGGTTTCGTCATGTTCTTTGAGCCGTTGTGGCCTCAGAACGAGTAAAGAGTCGATGGAATGTTGGATAGCAGCATCCTATATGAGGCGATCTTACTTCCAAGTGGAGAAGAGTAACTGGTTCTTTCCGCGGTGTAAAAACTACGCATGATCTGGCACCTTTTACGTGCGCCTCAAATGTTCGAAGTGAACGCTTTCGATAATATTTAACGTCCTCCGTTCCGCGTACGTACTGCAGTTGACGGTAAATAAAAAACAGAGTAATCTTCCGTAATCTCCTGTGATCCAAAAATGTTTCTGCATCACCCGCAGCGGAATCAAGTTTCTCGTTTATTCGTTGAAAGAAAAAAAAAAAAAAAAGTGAAAAAGATAGTAAGAAAAACCTTGGTTAAATTTACAATTCCAATTTCCTGCGTTCCAATTTTTCTCTCAAGAGTAGCAGTCTCTTACCTATAATGGCCGCGAGTATGTCGTCGACGCTGGTAAGTCCTTCTTGGTTTCTAAACTCGTCGAATAGCTCGGTGAACCCTAGAGGCGTTCCTCCGGGAACGTTATTCGGTCTTCGAACGCTTCCGGAATTAAGAAAGCTCCCTCTACGTGGCAACTCTACCCTAGTCATGAGGTCTCCTCTGTTAACGTCAAGGTCGCTTTGAGACCTCTTCAGCTTGTCCTCCGGCAGGACCTTGGATGCGTCCTCGGAGCAGCTCAATGGCGGCTCGCTTCCGGCTCTGCTCCTTTTCCTGACCCTTGGTTGGGAGTATTCTGGGACCTTCGACTTTCCGGCTTCCAATTTATCTCGACTCTTCCTCAAGGGCTTGTCCAGAGTGGAAATTCTCCCAGACTCCGATTTATGGCCGGAGCAGAGGTCCTCCTGACCCCTGCATCTGTGTCTGTGACCGGTTGCACTCTCGTCCGACAAACAAGGAGCTTTCCTCCTCGTTGCCAGATCTTGCGGGTTCATTCTCTGGTAGAGATTTTCCCTAGAGTTCCCCTTTCTGCAATTCCCGGGTTTCTCCATCCCCGCGGAAGGGACGTCTGCGTGGCCTAAGGCGTAGGTCTTCTCAAATTCCAGGAAGCGGTCTTCGTACAGCTTTTCATTCTTGGCTTGCTTCTTAACGCTAAATTGTCCATAAATATCGTTCGTGGCCAATTGGTAAGTTTTCTCATCTTCCGCGGACTCGTAAATTCTGGAGCTCATCTTCCTGGAGTATTTTTCCATCCCCCCAGAAAGCAGGTTGTCCGAAGAGCTGTGGAGGAGATCGTAGGAGGCTCTGTTTTTCTCGTAGACCCTCTCCTCCGTCTGCTGAACTTGGTCCAGGTTCTCCTCCTCCGCTGGAACGTTAATTTCTGTCTTTATGACGGAATCATCGTTGAAGGGTTCCTGATCGACCCGCTTCCCTCTGACAGGAAGCTTCTCGTAGCTGTTAAGCTTCCTCGTAAGAGCCTCTTCCCTCCCCAACGTCACCTCGTCCTTACTCTGAGCCTTGTTCTTTAAATTTTGCATTTCCTCTCCATCGAATAGCTTCCCTTTGACTGCCTTCTGACTCAGCGTCCCTTTCTTTAAGTTCTCGGTCACGTTTCCTTGGCCGGCGAGGTCCTTCGTCGGGGTTTTAACGCCATTCTTCGTTGAAGAACCCTCGCCGGTGGGTTTTTTGGACCCAATCATCGAAACATTCTCCGACTGTACATCCAACACCTTCTTCCTTCTAGGCGCTTTCTCGACCTGGTCGGAGAGCCCTGAGTCCTCGGTGAGGCTGGAGATGGAGTTTTTCTTCGCTCTGGGAGGTCGAACCGGATGTGGGGCTGTGGGACGCGGAGGTGGTGGTCGCAGAATCTCTCCGTTTGCTTTCCCGGATGGACTCGGCTCTCTGGTGCTGGAGGCCACGGAGGCCAAGCTGACGCATCCTAACCCGTTAGCATGTCGAGGTCTCCTGCGATTCGCGTCCAAATCCGCCAAAAGAGCTCTGTATAAAGTCGCTGCCGCGGCCACCGCGTCTTCTTCGGTTTGGCAGGCAAAGGCATGGCATTCTAGCAGTCTGGGTGCTCCTGGCCTCCTCATGACCACGGCAAAAATTGGAGGATAATCCTCGGCAACGCTTCGAAGACCTCGCATGGTCCTGTAGAGGTCGGCATGCTTGTCATCGGGTCCTGAACCGGACATGTCGCCCACAAGTGGTACAAACGCATACCGCAGACCTCCCGAGGGACTTCTTCGGGAACGCAGCCTCAGGGCGCTCCAGACTGCTATTCTTCGAAAGGGATTCACCTTTTCGCAACATCCTGCCGTTCGAAACGCCAACCCGCGACGGGAGACCTCCAGTTCGGCGCTCTGAGAGGCGTGCAGGCGCTCAAGGTGCTGACGAAGAGGTTCCTGAAGACCTCGAATGCTCGTCACGCGACCTCCGATCGGCGCCGCTCCGAGATACCTCACCTGTAAACGGAGAAATTGTTAATATCGTTGATAAATTTCAATTATTAACACGTCATGTCTCTGGCAAGTATTTTCATGTTTTCGGTACTAAGCGTTACATTTTCATGAAATATGTTAAAAAATGTACCGATACCAGAATATCATACGAAATAGGCTTACCATGACCTGCGGCGGGCGCGACCCCCTACAGTCACGGATAGTCGTAGAAATTTAGTCTGGCAGGGAACGTGCTGATAGTCTTAGTTTTTACCCTAGGGGAACTCGAAGTATATTAAAAAACTAAGAAAAATTACTAAAGGCATTTGGCAACGTATCAGCGCCAAAAGATAAATGAACTTGTGCATTGCTTCCGTTTAAAAGAAACCGGCGGTACTTTTAATACATTAATACTGTATGCGCAATTTTTACGGGAACGGTCCGTTTCGGTCGTGACACGGATGCAGGACACTGGCGTAATTTCGACCGGAGTAGGATCCATGGAAACGTGTACTGTTTCGAAAAATGCCGAAACCAACCGGTTTCGATTGATCGGGGTCATGCGATTACTTCTTGACCTCATAAAAGCCAGGCCGGCTGAGATCAACTCGCGAGGTCGACCACGAAGAATTACCGCCGAGTCGAGTCCTTGAAATTCCAGGGAAAGAGGAAAAAGGGAATTAAAGTTAGGAAACCGGGTAAAAGTTTTGCATGTCGAGAGCGCGGTAAGGGGGGATCCTTTTTTTGTTCTGAACAAAGCGAGTAACGAGAAGACCCTAGATTCTTGATCGCCATGCTTCACGGCTCGTAAACGGAATGAAAGTGAGAATGAAAAGTTCGCGGGAAGATTCGACGAGATTTCAGGAGATTCGAAGAAATTCGAAGAAAGTCCTTCCAGATTAGTTTCTCCAAATTCGGAGCACGGACCAAGGAGTTGTCGGAACACTTTCATTAACGCAACTCTATTCAATAAAACCTGGAAATAAACTTCCGATATTCGTATTAATTATATAGGGTGCAACCGATAAGGGAAAAGATCTAAGAGTCCGCCTTCGAATTTTCGGATGCATAATTTTCCTCGTTTTTGGCAAATTGAGGGGACTTCTTGAGACGAATCTTTTTTCCTTCCTTCAAAGTTATATTCTCGACAGGTGTTAGGGGAGTCTTCGAGAGCCGTGGACGTGGAAATCGGGAGAAAAGGCGGATTTTCCTCTTCTCGGCAGAATCGACCCGAGCACAGGTGCCTAACGAGTGCGACAAAGTAGGTGAATCTCTTGTTCCGGTTCGCGCAGCTCGCTCGAACGTGGCGATCTCGCTCATGCCGAGTGTTCACCGTTCCAAGGTCTCTTCAAGGTGGAAAACAGGATCAGAACCCGGGATTAGAGCGCGATTAGCACAAGTGAAACCGTACAGCTGGATACAAATCTCCAAAAGGGGACCAATAATCCTATGGGTTTCTCCTTCGTCGGTTAATTTCGTAATAGCGATCTTAAAGCCATACGTAAGCAAAGCTCGACCCTAAAATCTGTAAATTTCCCTAATAACCATATCTTTGGCATTTCGCGAGTACCGAGCAAGAATTTATATATCGAATACTGCCTAGGGTAGATGGATCGTTCGAAGTGAATTTTTGGTGCTCACCCTCTTCCGCTTCACATCTTTCGTCACGAATAAAAGAAAATAAGTATTTACTTACACAGATGAAATCGACTCCCGAAAATGTTCTCCATTTTCAGTTCTCATTTTATTTATCATCAATTATGAAACTTTTGAAAAAATGAATATCTCACGACAGAAGCGGATTTCAAAAAGTTGTTCCGTGTTATTTTGCAATAATTCTGTAGAAATGTTTTGAGTTTATTGGTTTTGCTCTTACTCGATGACCGAATCTTGTTAAGAGAGTTACGTTTTATTGAAAACGTTTCCTCGCATTAGACATTGTTTCCGATAAATAAAATGAGAACTGCAGTAATTTTTAGGAGGTAATTTCACCCCTGTAAGTAATTTATACTCTTCGATTTGGTCGAAAGGACGTAATGAAGTGGGAAAGGTCGAGCATTAAAATATTCGCTTCGACCGATCCGTTAACCCTAAATTTCTACTCGGCACCCATGCCAAATATGTGTCGTCGTCTTTGCACAGAGACCTCGGTAAATGGTAAGTGCTACATTGAATTAACATCTCCATCGAGATCCTCCGGACGTTTCCTTGGCGTTTATTTCAACCTCCAAATCCATGCCATTGTTCTCGACCTACTCCTTTCTCCACCTATCCGGACCTTCCATCGCGCCGCCTTTCTATCGGAAATCTAGAGCGTAAGTTCTCGGAAGGCTTTATTAAATACTTCGTGATCCGTTTTCCTCGCTCGAGGGGAGTCGAGGTGGTAAGGTAGTTACCTGTAAAACTGCAGCGGCGCACTCCCCGGGGGTTCCGGCCTCGGCTTCGACGGAAGCAAACATGGCCTCTATCCTGGCTTGAACGGCTCCATTGATCTTCCTCTGCTCTTCCGTAGTCAGATCTTCAGGGTTCGTCGGTTCGACGGTCGAAATCGCTCCCCCGTACCACCCTCCAAAGGTGGAACTGCAGACCGACCGGGAGTCCTCGAAGAGGGCATCGATCCTCGCCTTGCTCCTCAGAGAGCACTCGGAGGGAGCGTCGATAAGGCGGAAACCTGCCTCGACAGCTGCCATCTTCCAGTTTCCTATCAAAAGTTTCCTAACACCGACTTAATCCTCTCGCGTTGCTTGCACTCATGTCGCTCTTACTATCGCCTCCTTCGGTCTTTTCGACATCAGCATTGGCGTTAACTTTTTATCGCCATGATGATCTTCTTTTGCGAGTTCATCGTCTCGTTTTTCTTCCCCTTTTCCAGACTGACTGTCGCAAAAACAGGCATATCTTTCCGGTTTATATTCGAGACGTGTATCGAAGGATGAGCTCCGTCTTTCGTCAGTTTGTCCAGGTTTTACTGATGCGGTAAGGAAGTTACCTTTTCATAGTCGCTTATCGTTGCACAGGGAGGCTTCTTCTCTTCTTGAATGGGTCTTCATCGATTTTCCGTGAATAACTTTCTATAAGATTAAGAATCCTATTTTTCTTGGTTCCTTGTTAACGTCTCGTGCGACGGGAAGCCCCTTCTTCGCTGTCTTCTCGGTATCAACGGTAACGAAACGTCCATATCTCCGTGTATCTTCTTGAATCACCTGTCCCAGGAATCCAGTAACCCTTTTTCTCGTAACCAATTTCCGGTCTGCTTGATCACATTTCGCGGATGCACCTCTGGGCTTCCAATTTCCTGAACTCCTCGGGGTTGCTAGAGGAGGCCTCGAACTTGCTGAAATCCAACGGAGAAATGACTTTACACCGAGGATGCTCTCACCTCGTTTCTGCCCGTCTTCCATTCGTCTCTACGAGCCGTTAAATTTATACAAGAGGAGCGATTCCTAATTGGAGTGTGATAAACTATCCAAGAATAGAGACCACCGAGATAGCAATCGCTCGAGATTGAAATTGATTTCGAAGGCTGCTTGCCAGACCTTATTTAAACCCACCTCGGATTTCTTTTTCCTTTCTTCCCTCGAAACCAAGAGATCGGGACAAAGAAGAAGCTGCGATAGCGGAGCCGCCCTGCGTTTCGTTTTCCTTTTCTCCAGCTGAAATAAAGATGCGAAGAAATAAAGATGAAAAGGCGTTAAAACAACCTGCCACTTTGACCGCACAGGGAAATCAATTTCCAGCTAATTCCCAGCTAATGTCTAGCTAATTTTCGACCAATCTTCAATGACCGAAGGTGTAATTCATCCGGAATGTACAATCGAGTCTCCGTTAACGTCGCGGGATTAGAACGGCAAGGAATTGCTCTTGGAAGTAATTCCACACTTCCGTTAGCTCCTGAAGACGTTTTTGCGCCATTGGCAAGGTGCCGGAGCACTTGCTTCCCGTTTTAAACAGGTATGTATTAATATTTACACCTGGCAGTTACATACATTTATCTACGTACTATAACAAATTATAATCGATTAAATATTTGTTCGTCACTGAAACGAGTAAAATACAATTCCATCTCGTTTGTTCATCTGTTAGAGTTATACGGGATGTCCTGAAACCCTTGCCTGACCTTTCAAAAGCGCAAAAAGGTAATAAAATATAATGCAATGAAACTGACCAATCAAAAACGCGCGAAGCATCTGAAAAATCAGAAATTTAGGGGCCTCAATTCCAATTCCCACGATTTATCCTCACATGTTTTGCGCAGGCTCTGCAAGTGATAAGGATTGATCGATCGCGTTTCATTGCGCTATATCTCGATAATTACTGATCGGAGAGAAAAATGAAAGAGGATTTTCTGATGGGAAATATTATCCCGTTTCTTCCTTTAAAAGTTCCGACGAGGGTATCGGGACACCACGTATACAAGTACCGATACAGATATACCAATTTATCGTAATCGGTTACATGATACCATTACATAATGCTAGTACGACCAGTATAATGCAATTGTGTAACTCCGATACTCATCCTGCCCCCGAGCGAAATACGTTATCGTCTTGTTTGTCCATCTGCTTCTGTTTACCGTACAGTTGGTACACGTGTACACATAACGAGTGCTCGTTACGTACTATGGCCAAAAATGTTAGTAGCAGGTGCAGGACTGCTGTTATTCTCTCCTGAACCTAACAGTTCGTGTATCGAGTAACAGTTAACTCCGAGTTTGTGTATGGAACGAGGCCTAAACGTACTTGCATTGCGCACGAGTGCACCTTCGGACCGTGGACGCAAAGAAGCATTACGCATCACTTGAAAGCACGCGAGTACGTAGCCCATTGAAAGTATACACGGCGATGGCCCGCAGTCACGAGAAATGCAAACACAATCGCAATTGGCTGCACTTGCGAGGGCATTCAATTGATTCGTCCTGAGAAATCGCTCGCTCGATGGAAAGTGCACGCGAAGCATGGAAATCGCCGCGAGTCTCCCCATCTCCCTCTTTTCAGATTTTCTCGAGTTTCCTTGTCGCTTTCGAGTGTATCGTCAAATCTTGCGACGTGCATCAGATAGGAGGATAAAATATGCTCGAATTGGAATATACTCAATCGCGGCCCTTGTGTTTTATCTATACCATTGTAATTTTTATCTTTTTTTTTTACATATTATATTTTATATTTCAAATTTTTAAGCCGTTTCCCCTCGTTACGTTTGCTTAGTTGTTCTTTTTTCTTCAGTGAGAGCTAAGAGAGTGTTAAAAAAAATAATTGGATTTTTATGATATTGATTTTAAAATTGGGGGAAATTACTTGCAATTGTGAACGGCTTTCGGAAAGCTCTGATGCTGACGTTTAAGTAATGATTATCGAGCACGCGACTCCTCTCTCGTATCTACAGCCCGTCCGACGAGTTTTACGGAATTCAAAGTGCGTCTGCGAGCGCCCTCAATACATGAAGACCGAGTCACCTCCGTGGCTTGATCGAATCATCGATAAAACTCGCACGTTAATCGAAACTATGCCGAGTTCGCGATAATTATCTCAAGTTCGATCACAAGTTCATATTAAACTCGCGGCATCTGCCCGCAGTAACGTGGAACGATACTAACATTCCCGTTTCACGTTTTCCACGTAAACTCGCGTATATTTTAACAATCTCTGAAAAAAAAAAACACACACACTTGAAGATACGATAGCAATTCCTCACATTTATAAGTAAACGACGAGGTATAATGCAGAAAGCAACGAGAGAAGAAAAGGATAGATTTGGGGCAATTTCGCCATAAAATATTCCACCCCTACAGGTCATGCAGCACAAAAAAAAATGAAGAATTTTATTAAAACGACTAACGGATTACCAGATTTATGTGATTCATCCATACCGGTGGCACCAGGGATGTCAATCTTCTGGGAATAATAATGAGAAAAGCTGCCTACATCTAATCAAATGTGCAGCGCAGTCGCCACAGACCTGCGCGAAGCACCAACTGCGCACATAAATCGCGTCTATCCGTTTAGAATGTTTTGCAAGAAAAAAGCCGGCCTTACGTCAATATTTCGTTGTACTTACCGGTTAAATCACTCTAGGCGACGATGCCTCAACACTCCAGATACCGGCAGGCAGATTAATCGGGAAATACTTGCAACGTAAGAGCGACGTAAACCGGGTCGGAAAACGAGGCGTGCAGCGCGCGGCCGCGGGCCTGCGCCGACTGGATGCGCAGAAGCCGGGAACCAGCGACCGGCAATGGCGATGGCCGCGACCGGTCCACGACTGCGGAGGATGCGCGCCGCTTCCGCGTCAAGACGCTCCGAGTTCCACGATACGGTTATTCTCCTCTCCACGGCGATCGACGGAATATACGAGCACGCGCGCGCGCGCGCTCCGGTGGTACTGCCGGGCAATTTAAACAACCCGCGCGCGTCGAGGACGCGGTCAAGGGAAGGGAAGTCGGACTGCCAGGGAGGATCGAAGGACCGCGTGCCTCCGTAGCTGCCGATCGCTGTTGCCGGCTGTTCCAAGTCGCTACCGGCATTGCCGTTGCCGCCGGTTTCGGCGTTGCCGACGTAGGCACCGCCGCAACCGGTAACGGTACCGCGAGCGTTCGCCGTGCGGCAGGCGCCCGAGACGCGCGCGCGGAGTAACAGTACTCCGCGCCACGCGAGGCGCGCTCGCTCGGCGACCGCGGGACATACGACCCTGTGGTACTCAGGTGGGTTGTTGCGCGCTCTGACCGCCGTGCTCACCCTGCTCGGGCTCGGAGGCAGCGGGTCGGATGTCCGCGCCCTCGGGCGCCACGGATTTGAAAATGGCGGGGCGGGGGGACTCGAAATTGGGTCGGCTCGCGGCCGAGGGCTTTCAATTTCGGAACGGTCTGGAAAGAAACGGAGGCAGCGTGGCAGGTGGGCTGGGGTATCGGAGGTGGGATATACACCAGGAAAAGCTCAGGCTCCGTATCGCGACTCGGTGATGACCGCAGTTACTTCAAGGATCATTTATAATTTATTAAGCCGATAATGAGACGCGAGGGTAAGGTGCGGTTTTTCATTTTGACGATTTGAACGAAAAAAATATCGCACGAGCGTATACCTCAACTCGATAGAACATTGCTGATCCGAGGAAAGTTATAGGTTTCTTAATAGATAGAATCGTGTATTGTATTGAGGCAAAAATTCCTGCGAGTTTTCCTGGATGGAACGATCGAGGAAACCGCACGAACTTTTGCCGGAATGTATTACATATAACTAGAGGGGAGATAATTAACGATGCCTGCGGCGGAAAGAGTTATTTTGAGGAAGAATTTTTCACTTTTCCGGGTAGTAAAGTACGAGTTACGCGAAGGAGCGAAAACTTGTTTAGACAAGAGCCGTTCGACGTCGTGCGGTTGCGTATCGTTAAAACGAACGGCGCAATCGTCGGTGTATCTTCACTTTCGACAATCGTGCCCTCGTTTTCGTTTTATTTCGCCGTTGGGTGCGGCAGTTTGCGGCTAAAGCCTTGCTCGTCTCTTTGTACCTCGGGTAGAAGTAAGGGAAAAGCAGAAAAACCCGTAATTACTTCGTAGGCAATTGCACGAGAGAAGAAATGCACTCGCAACCTCGAGAACGGACGAAATTCGACGTTTTATTGTTATTAGCTCGAACCGAGGCAACGGGATCGTAAACGCGGGGACGCTTAGAAGCATACAGGCGCATAAATTGGCGGAAAGTGGCATATGGATAGGAAATGTCAATTAGAGGAGTCCTGGTACCCCCTGTGCCCGTGCGTAGAGGCACGCAGCGGTCATCGGACTAGGTGGTGGTTGCGGGCTCCGACGACAGGTGGCAGATGCGACGCGTTACCTCGTGCACCGTTCCGCCGAACCGGAAGTCGGTATCGCAACGACTCACCTTCGGAGGAGAATCGCAAATTGCAAACCGCGACGTGCCGGAAATTCCGCATCTGTTATCGATGCCTCGCCTCCCAAGCCCGTCGATTTAATATATATAATGTACACTCAACCCTCTTTTAAGGGGACTAGGCATTGGAAAATCTCAAATGTTTTCGTTTCTTTTTTTTTTTATTCTGTTCCTACAGTCTCTTCCAAACGTTTTAGCGCAAAGAAAACTGAAAAATTCGCAAAACTGAGCACAAGGGAGAAATAAAACACCAATACTCCGCTAACGGTTAACGGCTGGCGCGTTGCGTCCCTTCTTGGATGCAGACAAGAGATCGCAAGCATCGACAAAATAAGCTAGGGTGGAAAAGAACCGACGTATCACGATTGCTGCCACAGAAAAAGCGGGAACTCGAGAAGTCTTTCTACAGTGCCGGCAATTTTTAACGTATGTAAGTTGCAATTGTTCTGCCGTAGTACTGCGCCAGAACTTAAACGCGTTTTTCTCGAAACGGCATTTTGTACTAGTTTTGCCGCGATAACTGAAGAACGATCGAAGATATCGCCTTGATTTTTTTTCCTTTTTTTTATGAAGATATCAATTTTCTACGCAAAATGAACCGACGCCTATGTCAAAAAATCAATTTATTATTATTGTTATAATATGAAACTCTGATTAACGTGGGACAAATTCACCGTGTTATGAAAGAAGTTAGACGCCAGAAGTTAGACGCGTTTTTCTCGAAACGACATTTTGTACTAGTTTTGCCGCGATAACTCAAGAACGATCGAAGATATCGCCTTGATTTTTTTTTCTTTTTTTTTATGAAGATATCAATTTTCTACGCAAAATGAACCGACGCCTATGTCAAAAAATCAATTTATTATTATTGTTATAATATGGAACTCTGATTAACGTGGGACAAATTCACCGTGTTATGAAAGAAGTTAGACGCCAGAAGTTAGACGCGTTTTTCTCGAAACGGCATTTTGTACTAGTTTTGCCGCGATAACTCAAGAACGATCGAAGATATCACTTTGTTTTTTTTTTCTTCTTTTTTATGAAGATATCAATTTTCTACGCAAAATGAACCGACGCCTATGTCAAAAAATCAATTTATTATTATTGTTATAATATGGAACTCTGATTAACGTGAGACAAATTCACCGTGTTATGAAAGAAGTTAGACGCCAGAAGTTAGACGCGTTTTTCTCGAAACGGAATTTTGTACTAGTTTTGCCGCGATAACTCAAGAACGATCGAAGATATCGCCTTGATTTTTTTTCCTTTTTCTTTATGACGATATCAATTTTCTACGCAAAATGAACCGACGCCTATGTCAAAAAATCAATTTATTATTATTGTTATAATATGGAACTCTGATTAACGTGGGACAAATTCACCGTGTTATGAAAGGGTCGAGGGCAAGGGGTAAGAGTAAAGACGTATATTAGTTGTGAAATGCCTAAATTCTTAAATTGCCACCTAGTGTCCGCGGATAAAATAATGAAATGTTCGGATGAAATCGTTTTCTTCTAACTTTCGAGTTATATGTAATTGAACGTGTTCGCAGTTCTTTTTCGAAAATCTATTTGAAAGAAGGATATCGTTTGTTACATACATAGGGCACTTTTGACTGTTGCCAAGGAGATTCTTGAGACAGGGTTGCGTGTCTTTGCGTTTCCCCCCTTCCGCAATTCTTCCCTCTCTGTTAATCTTCTTGTCCTTTCCTCTCTTACTTTCAAGACAAGTATGTAGATGTAACGGTCTCTTTCGCGCAAAACCAATTACACAGTCTGGTTCATTCGAAATGGAATCCAGCCTTATATGACAAAGACAATATGTCAAACATCGTTTGGAGACCCATTATCGTGATCTAATAATGGTCGAGGGGATCGTACCTTAATAAAGTTCAAGTATAAGGGTATAAAAATCAAAACTAAGAAATGAATTTAATTAAAAGTTGAACTGACGCTAACCTAGGGGACAATTTATACGCCTTTTAGAGAAAAGTGACACTTGCGACGAAGAGGCCAACAGTGCGTAAATAAGTAGCGACCATTTCTGGGCTCGTTTCCAGTAATTTGTTCTTGGAAATTCTTCGACAAAAGCGTCATTACGGTCAGCTGCAGAAATTAGCGTAAAAGGTTTCTGTGCAGTGGCTCCAGATAAGCATCATTTTAAGTACGTACTCGTATACTTTGCAGTCGATACGATAATCCCGCGTGACATATAATTAACCAGTACACATTACAGCTAATGCGAAAAAAATGCAAATTCACTATCATGTCATTTTTTCTTCTCTTTCTCCTGACGATCAATTCATTTTTTACGGAAAGGGGTTCAATATTTTTCACGCAGTGGACATTTTGATAGCACAACCTCTCGCGATCGCGATTAAACTGGGTCACTCGAGCGATTATTCAAGATTCTCGAGCGCCGATTCATTTCGGGGCAACAGCAAATAAAATACCGACGTAATGAACCGATTAATGGTAATGACTATCACCGGGGCTCGCGTCATCCATTACGTGGATTAATGGACTTTCTCGAGCGGCTTTAATGAGGTTTCGAGAGGCCCTTCGACCAAAATCCCGTTACGAAATTTCTTTCCCGAGGCGTGTAAAATTTCGACCGACCGGTCGAGTGTCGCAAATTCGATAACAATTTATAGAGAGCTCACGTCGACCGCTAATCCAATCACTAGGGGGTAACTGTACCTGTATCCTACCATCTTGCCTTCTAACTGTAATTCAAGCACTTAACGTTCAATACCTGATCGTCTAGGCGATTGACTTAAATCGAACGGTTGGTAGCAATTATGGGTAGAAAAGGTATTATATCAAGTGTTAAAATGATGGACCTAAGAAGTAATTGAAGAAAAATATATGTTAAATACTAAAACATACCGAAACGGTGACAAGTGTAGCCACAAATATCACTTAAGCGCCATAACGATTGCGCTGAGAAAGCCTCGAGGTAGTTGTTAATCTGTGAAAATTGACGGCTGCAAATAGTCAAGGTCAAGAATAAAGCTAATTTGCTGAGTTGAAAATTTGAGATGTTACAATTCAATTCATACTAAGTCCGGTTCACCGAGCAACAATGCCTATTCCCTGTACCTACTGTTCGTGCGCCATTTTTACTCTGTTAAAAATATTTTACAAAATGGTGCAAGAAAATAAATATACTTGTGTACTAAATTTATTACACATCTTTATAAAGTATATAAATAAAATGTAAAATTGGTACACCGAGTTTGAATAAAGCTTCCGGAGTTCTTTTCAACGGTGTAGAATATCTTGTAGCAGGTGTCGGACACAAATCATTTTTAATACATTTTATGCCCACGCCAGCGTGCAATTTTTTCACAGACTTCCACG